CCGCTGGGGCCGCGGCCCTCGCAGCCGCCGGGACTGCCGTCCTCTCGTCGCCCGGTCGCCTTCCCGAAGCGTCCGCGACAGTCGTGGGCAGAAGCTGCTCCCGGTCGCGGGAGCGATCCCGGGGCGGGGCAGACATCGCCGGGCGACGGGCGCTCACAGGAGGCCGGGCCTCCATGTTACGAAGGGCCGTGCGAGGCCCCTCGGCGCCAGCGCCGATTCGGGATCCTCCCGCCCGAGTTTGTGGCTCCAGAGCTTGTCAAAGGGGAGCAAGTTCCCGCAGCGGCCCTCGCAGGGTCCCCCAGCCCCGCTACCCGCCGTGCGGCCACGTTACCCTACAGCCCTGCACGAGGCCAAGGAGGAGCAGCCCGTGTTATTTAAAGGACAATACCCAGAAGGGGAGATCCTGCCGTAGCAACTGGTGAAATTTCCTGTATAAATATTGATGAGCCCAGAGGGAAAAGGAAATTAGAAGCTGGCCAGCCAAGTCTGGACGTACCCCGTCGCCGCAGGTCCCGGCGGCAGCCGGCGGCCTCGAAGGCGGCCTCTGAACGCAGCCTCCCCACTGCCGTCCACAGAGCACACACAGACGTGTCCAGTGGGTTCCTCTTTATTACAGCCTTGCACCGCACGCAGAGAAAATGTACCTTTTAAAATCCATGGGGTTTACATCTAGACATCTCTTCGTTTCATGCCTTGGGCACAGGCTTCTTTATTTAGCTTAATTTCTTTCTTAAATTTGGGCCTAGTAAATGACAGATCTTTTGCCACTGTCCTGTCATCAACAGCATCTTAACATTTTGGTGACACTGCTCGTAGAAGGTGCGGACAGGACAGGTTTAATGCCAGCTGCTCTTCCTTATTCAGCGTTAACGATTGCTGGCACAATGTGAAGCTCAGGAGTGTGAGGAATTTTTTTTCTTTTTTTTTTTTTTTTTTTCCCCCCTGAAATGTTCCTGTTGAGAGGAGGCCCAAATGTAAAAGAAGAAATATAAAAATACTTTGGAAATAAACTGTGAAGTCTACAAGACAAACACTAAAAATCAACTAAACCTTAACTCTTCCTTTGCTTGCTTTGAAGAAGAGCTTTGGAAAAGATCCTGCTTTCAGTTTGGAACTAGGGTGAAGTCCCGTATACAAATTTTCTACATTTGTCCCTTTGCACAGCTTGACAAAGGAAATGGTGGCCTAGGGACACAGCAAGCTAGCATGATGTTTCACATCATGAGACTCCTTTTCCCACTTAATTCCTTCACGTTGAATGAGAAGAGGTAATTTTCAGACATTAAATTTAGATTAAGTCATGACTTGGTAGTAAAACTAGCTTGATCTCATAATAAATATGTTTCACCTAAGTGAAAACAATTAGAAGATAAAATGATTCTTAAAAGTCAAATAGTACAGTGTTATAGAATATAGTGTAGTGGGAAACAGTGACCAGATAATGGGATATTTGCTTTCTCAGACTCAAAAGAATTACACAAAATAAAGCAAACCTAATCTTTTAAGAGATCATTCCCTAAAATTAGGTCAGAAAATGTTGCCTCCCTTTGTCACCAGTTACTAAAACCGAGAAAATCCTTCCTGATAATAAAGTATTTAACAGGATTTCATAGGTGAGAGAAGTACACCAGAAGACATTCAGTTAAAATTAGGAATGTTCATTGATTTACTCTATCCAAACCACCAAGACTTGGGCAAAACTGTTCAAAGTACTTGATAAATTCACAGAGCTTTCCTAAGTAAGTCGTTTCCCACATCATTTTTATATATTAGGAGAACAGGATCTGAATTGGACACAACCATCCTTGTAAAAATGCCAGCCACCTTTCTGTACTACTTTTACCAGCATCAAGAGGCGAAGAGATGTTTGTGTTTCCAGGCTGAAGTTAGCTGCTGTTTTCTCAGGCGTGAAGATGAGCGCAACGGGGTCAGCCGGAACCAACTTGGATTTGCTTCAAAAAGCCAGCGTGAAGGAGGATGAAGTGTTCCTTCCAAGGAGATGAGAACGGCAACTCACCTCTAATCGGTGCACTGATGCCTTGGCTTTGGCTATTCGTTTTCTAACTGTAGGATTGGAAGCCTCCCTGCCAAGAGAGGTTGTGCAGTCTCCGTCCTTGGAGGTTTTCAAGACCTGACAGGGTAAAGCTCTGAGTAACCTGGCTTGATCTCATAGCTGATGCTGCTTTGAGCAGGAGGTTGGACTACAGACCTCCTTAGGTCCCTTCCAACCTGAGTTATTCTATGATTCTATTATTTTCATCCATTTTACATCTATCATCTTTGGCTTTCTTCAGATATCAAACTGATAAAGACTAGGTTTGAAAGTTCATTTTTACAAAGCATGGCCAGAAAAAAGTTGTGAGTTTAACTACTTTGTATGACTGAGACATATGACCCAGCCAGAAAGAGGTAAAAATCTCTGTACGAGATGAACATATCATGATAACTCTTCAAGGAAAAATGATAAAAATGGTGAGAAATATATATCACAGGCCTATATGCATTTGCAAAACAAACTGGAACTGCAGAATAACTACCAAAACATGTTTATAGCACTACAGTCTCCAGTGGGCTGCATAATAAGGGCCAAGATGACTTTTGGGCATAGTCTCCACTGGCTGCAAGGTTATATATCATACAGCCTAAGCTGCTCCTTCATGTCTCGTTCAGACATCTCTCCAAATGTGTCACTTTTTTCCTTCATGAGCCTGAAGATGGCAGCCAGCTGCTCTCTCTGAACCCTGTCAAGAAGAAAAGGAGAAGTAGGAATAGCCAGTCCCCAGAAGGCACTTTGAGCAAGAACACCATGGTCAAATGAAACACGAAGCCGAACGCGGGTCATTTTACAAGCCCTGCTGACTGCAGGAAATCTGCCCATGTGAGATGAGAAAGAGAGCCTCTGGTTCTCCTTCCTCCACCTTCCCATCTATCCAATCATCCTGCACGTCTCTCTGCTGTTCTTTAAATACGGAGATAAAACAGACTGCTTTAAAACCAGCTTTGGAGTTTCTTAAGACTTATCTATGCTCAAAGTTTCAGGATAACTCAACATGTGGAATTTCATAAGACCAACACGTCCCAGTTTGGCAGACTCCATAATGAAACTGGATTAAGCTTCATCAGCACAGTGTCCTTTCATTCTGAAATGAGAGTATGTAGATACAGAGTAATTCAGGAATAGCTACTAAATTTTAAGTGTATACCCTACCTTAAAACTAGAGACTAGACTACCTTCCAGTGTGGATATGACTTTAATCAGCCACTGGAAGATAAGATCACAGATAGAAATCTGCTTTGATTTGAGGGTTTGTTTGCCAATGTCAAATGGTGAGATGGACTCATGTACCCAGTCCAGCAATGAGGTGATCCCTGTGTAGGCAGAGGCTGACCAGCGAACCATCTAGCTCAGATTTCCATCCCTAGAAAGTCCATAGGAGATGATTAACTCCTTTCTCCCCATAACAGATGATATCCTGATTTTTCCTTAACCTGAAGCAGTTAACCGTTGTTGTATGTCCTGCAGCACAAAGATTGGTATGTATCACAGGGCTTTATTTGAGGAAGCTTTATGGGAGGGCTTATGCTGATCATCACTCAGGGATACAGAAGGGTGGACAGCACAGGAGTGCCATTTGTTCACAAGTAGCTCATGAACCGATGCAACTGATTTTGATGTCTACAAAATCCTCTTTTAGGGCAAAATGAATGTGCACCTTGGCTCCAGTCGGGGCTGGCTGTGGGCTGGTTCGTTCTCATTGCCGGACTCCTACCTGGTTGAGATCAGATTGCAGTATTGCCTAGCACACCTCATACCTGACTCTCCTGTGTGAGATTAAAAGAACTAATGAGGTTGTGGTGCTTTATGGCTGTAACAAGAGAGAAGCAGTTTCTATTACTTCAAGGCTCATTTTGCCCCTACGTGACTGTGGAGCCAGAATTCAGCGATAGCCCAGCAGCTCAGAGCACAGATCTGCCACAATCCCAGTTCCTCCTGCTTGTTTAGCATCTTTAGACCTCCCCTGAGCTAGAAAGACAGACTCTGGCTTTTACTTCCACATGGTCACCCTGTCAAGAGTCCTCTGCCCCTGTCACAGCCAGCTTTCCGCATAGGACTTTTAATACACTGTAATTAATCCATTTAAATGCATGCCATTAGTTAACCTGGGGTAGTCTTCCTGCAAGTCCTGTGTGGACAAGCTATTAGCTGTTCCAGTAACAGGAGGGGTAGAAACACCTATTGACAGGCAAAACCAGGACACAATCTTTGCTTGAAAGAAGAGAGGACAGCATCAACACATCAGAAGCAACCACACCACAAACAAGATCAATGGAAGGAGACAGTCAGGAACAAGCAGAGGAGCCTTCGCGTGCTGAGCTCCTGCCGAGTGGGGCTCTGCATTTTCCCCTCTCCTGGACTAAGCCCCAGCAGAAGCAGGAACAGCAGGCTGTCCTCCCAGCACCATTGCAGCAGGAAAAAAGCAGATCCCGGCAAAAGAAAGCTCATTTGCCAATTCTTTTCTGTTGCAATTAAAATGCAATTGTCCTAAGGCCATATCCTGATAATGATGTGGGATCTTTTGGTTATGAAAGCTCTGGCCACAGGCTATCAAGCGCCTGGATTTGTCTGTCTCTTCTGTAATTTTTTGTGCTCACATGAACAGCATCCAACTGCCCTTTCCAGACGAGAGGAAGGGAAGCACAGTCGTCAGTGATCAATATTTTATTTTAGATCACCACTGGGCACCAGAGGGCACATTTCCAGTCTGGTGTGGAGAAATTCAATACACAGCTTTGCCTCACGTGTCTGAAATGCATGCCAGCTGGGAGTGCTCCACACAGGTCTGCATCCCTCGCTCCTTATTTCACAGACATTAACACTGCTGAACCCTCCCCAAAGGCCCGTTTCCTTGTCTCCAAACCTTCAAAATCAAGATCACAGACAATATTCACTCTATTTTTTAAAGTGCAACATCAATGCATTTTGGCTCTCCCCTCAACTTTAAATATCGTGACTGTGCATTTGAAAAACAGAAATAAAAAAGAACTGTTACTGCTGTTACTTCTCTGTGCTACATAATCTACAACAAAGAGAGAGCAAAACAAAGATTAAGAGAGAAAAGAGCCTGGGAAGGAAGAGTAAGGCATCAAAAACATGAAACTGATTTCAAAAAGGAGCTTCTCCTATCATGGGCGACCTTGTAAAATAACTTTGTACTGCTCCAGATTGTATTTTTTTTTGATGATTTCAGATCAAACCTACCCCATTCACAAGTAAAATCATTCTTTCTTCCCACAAGTGCTGTCCTTAAAACTACTTGGATCCAGGAGGTCAAACAGAATTTTACTTATTGCTGACAAAATAGATTAATTAAGGATTTTCAAAGCAGCCTAATTCTTCTTGATAGGCAATTGAATTTGCATACTTAACTCCCTTAGGCTCTTTTCAGACATTTCAGTCCAAGAATTTTATGATTAACTGGAGGTTTGGGGCAGTGAGCTATAGGTATGTTAAAGGAGATCTGCGTTTCAGGAACTGCTAGGCATCCATGTTCACAGCAGCTGAACTGGGCAGAGCTCTGCATTTGGGAACGTTGCTAATTGCTCCGCAGCCAAACAAGACCAGGATCCTGCTGCAACACTGCATTGCTCCAGCAAAAATAAGGTAAAATCCCTGACTTTTGCCACTGGTCTGACCCTATTGTTAAGGAAGCCAATGGAATCATTTATGGGGTAAAAGGCATAGGAGGGCAGAATGTACTTCTAACCCAAAACCCAGAGTTTCAACACAAATCTCTTGAGGAAGAAGTTGCAAGCTGCTGGAGGCAGGGAGAACAAGCACAAACCAAATAAACTATTCAAAGGTTTATTGGACCAAACAAAGGCAATTTTTACAGATTCAAGCCACTAGAATTACAGTCCTTTGTATAAGAGCCACCATCAGATACAAAACAAACAAACATAAACAAAAGTAAAAAATACCCAGCCAGCCATTTGAGTTGAAGAAATAGTTTGACTCGCTGCCACTAGCAAAAATCTGGACTCGACTATAGACTTTGCTCGATGTACATATTGCCATGTAACTTAAACACAATGTATATAAGGCATTCTTTGCATAGTTGGGTGCTTGGGACACAGAGTCAGCCAGCCAGCACCGAGGGGAGACAGCGGCTGTACCAGCTGGGTGTTGAAGCAGAGGGTCCAGATGTGCCTAAATTCGTATACAAACCACTGAATACGCTTGCAGTTGTCGGCTGGAAAGGGGCAGCCCAGCCTCTTCTAAAGCTGAAGCCTCCTGCTGTTCCTTAAATAAGCCCTTTTATGAAGAGTTTGCCAACCCCAGGCGCTGGAAAGGACAACTGTGTACAAGGTTTCAAGTATTGTCTGCATAGGAATTAAAAAGGGAAAAAAAAAAGCAGCCTGTTTGGTTTCTGATATGTTTGCAGCGTTAGCCAAGAGGCAGTTGTCCTGCAGTGAGAGAGAAACTTTGAAGGACACATCCCCACCCAGCCTAGTGTTTCTACAACATTGTTAGAGGACACAGGCCCTCTTCTCACTCTCGCAAACCAGCTGGGTTTGATTTGAAACCTGCTATGTCTGAAGCAGGTTACACGCCCAGCCGAATTCATCTTCTATATATGACAGAGCTGAGGAGCAATGCTGAGCTCTGGCTCCAGTGGACAAGCCACAGGGCTAGCAAGAGAAGAGGGCACTGGAACAGCAAGCAGGCAGAGGAATGGGGAGGGTGTCTCTTCCAGGACCCCTACAATCTCATCCTGAGCCAGAGGGAACCCCTGATGCCATAGCTACCTCCTTGGGTCTCTCCTCTTGGGAACCGGAGTAGGGAAAAGTGAGAATCCAGATACTAACAGCAGCCAAAGTGTGGTCTCCTAAACCTCCACCACAAGCAGAACAGCTAAACTATCAATCTTTGTCACTTCTCAAGTCATTCTGTCTACCTACAGAATCAGCTCTCTGCTAAAATAACTACAGAAGCACGATTTGAGTCGGGCCAGTTACCATCTGCCATACCTCACTTGGACCCCACTTTGTCCCTCCACCCCTCAGAACAAAGCAGCGTTGTACAACATTTGAAATCATAGGCAGTTCCCACCCCCCAGCAGTAAAGAGTTTGGCCCCAGGAAGAAACAACTTGGTAGTCTGGTATAAGGTCCAGGCTGGTCTGGGAGAAGAGCTACGGTTTGCCCACCTCAATAAAGGAACAACACAGATTTCATGGCAGACCTAATACATGGTAATGAACAAAACTAACAGACTCGCTGCATATTTAGTGTCCAATTTGGGATCTGTTTGGGGGAGAGGGAGGAAGGTTCATCTCCTAGGACATCCCAGTCCCCCAAACACAACTCAAGTCACTGCTTGGGCCCAGCCCCAGTCCATGGAGCCACACAACAGGATCTCCTCAAACTTGACACCACAGGAGTTTTTGAAGAACTCAACTTCAGACCAAGAGGGGATCCCAAGTTTTGAGGGTTTATGGATTTCTCTTATGGGTGTGTTTGGTTGGTTTTGGTATTTCTCTCAAGCCTTTAAAGATGCCAAGGGATGCCTTTAGGAGGATGCTAGGGACAACTTCATATAGTCTTCATTTCTGCAAAGAGAAACAGGGAGAGAAGAGAAATCATTTCAGTCATTTCACCCCTCAGGTTGGTTCATTATTAGTCACATAAATGAGCAGGGGGGAAACCTCAGTGTGTGTGTGGGGGAAGGCAAGGCAACTTCC